GGCCAACTAGTGCTCTGAGCCATTGCTCACCTTTATGATGTTGGCACAGAACCGCTCCCAAAGTGACAGCTCTCCTTCCTTGATCCATGACATAGTTCTTTTCCAGTCAGAAGATCACCCCAGAACAACCAAACACCAGCCAGGTAATCTTGGATAAAGAAGAAAGAAAATAAGAAGCCACCAAGGTTTGCAAAGAGCTATAACTGACTTTTGGGGAATCAGATGGACTGTGGAGAGCAGCCAGCATTAGAATCCAAAGACACTGGTCTAAGCCTATAATCTTTTACCACCCACAGTTTTATAAGGCAATGAGACCTCTGGGGGGCAAAAGCCTTTCCTCGGTTCTCGTGCCTTTGCAGACTTGTTCCCATTCCCATTTCCTCAGTATCTGCACTGACTTCTTCTGAACATCTAAGTCAGCTTCCTGCCACATCATGGTGCCCACATCTTGATCATTCCCTGTTTCTTCCTTCTCCATCTTCCCTCAAGCTGTTTCCCACTCTGCGCTCCCAGTTACTAACCCCTTCAGTTATCGCACCGCCGGTACTTCACGCCTCAGTGGTCTCCTGATTATCCCCTCAGTCGTCCCTTTGCTTCTCCCGCAGCTGCTCCCCGCCCAGTCACCCTCTTCTCCTCTAGTTCACCCCTTCAGTTCAGTGGCACCTGATTCGCTCCGCTGGGCGCGTCCCCACCGCGTCAGTGGGCCGGCACTTCCTCACGACGTGGCGCTAGAAGAACACGTCATCTTTGGGCGCTGCGACACGCCCCCTCCGTCACCCAAGTTGGGGGGGCCCTGCCCTGCGCCTGCGCCTGCGGGCTAGAGGGAGGGCAGTTCTCAGTCCTGTGGGGTGTGGACGCCGGCTAGGGTGAGAGCCAGGCTCACGTGACCCAGCGGGGCGGGAGGCTGGGCTCCAGGCCACGTGCTGGGGGACCAGCTGGGGAAGACGGGGTTGAGCCCAGTGTGGGGAGCGGAAAGGTCGGTAGACTCACAGATTGGGAGGCCTCTGGAAAACGCGCCAGTGAAATGAGCCAGGGGGAAGAATCGAGGCGCTTCTCGGCCTTTGAAGGCAGCTTAGGACTGCTGAGAAATGGGGTAAGGCAGCGTCCTAACCTGGGAATGCCGCAGAACCGGGCTTCATTAGAGCACTGGTACATACTCTTAAAAATTATCTCGTTACGTTTCGTGTTTTATTTAGTGGATTTAATCGTCTGGGAAGAAGTTTCTAGCCGCAGCCAATCTTACAGACGCGCAGAATATTAATCTATTTTGTGCCGATTTAAGGCACGCATATTTTAGGATTTGTGGATTACCAAGACCTGTCTCAACGAACTCAGGAGAAGCGGTAAGGCCAGAAGGATCTCTGCCATAAGAATGACTTCTAGGCCAGACGCGGTGACCCACGCCTGTAATCCCAGCACTTTGGGAGGCGGAGGCGAACGGATCACCTGAGGTTAGGAGTTCGAGACCAGCCTGGCCAACATCGTGAAACCCCCGTCTCTACTAAAAATACAAAAAATGAGCCGGGCGTGGTGGCGGGCGCCTGTAGTCCCAGTTACTCGGGAGGCTGAGGCAGGAGAATCGCTTGAACCCTGGAGGCGGCTGTTGCGGTGAGCCAAGATCACGCCACTGCACTCCAGCCTGGGCAACAGGAGCGAAACTCCGTCTCAAAAAAAAAAAAAAAAAAAAAAAAGAATGACTTCTAAAATAACAGAAAGGTGCTCGCTTTGGCAGCACATAAACGAAAATAACAAATTAACCCTGGTAGAAAAGCTAAGGGCATTAGCTCTGTACTGAACCTTTACGAAAAAAAGGGTTGCAAGGATTCTAGGCTCACAAAAGAAATTCGTAGTTAAGGCTGGGCGCGGTGGGTCACGCCTGTAATCCCAGCACTTTGGGAGGCCGAGGCGGGTGGATCACGAGGTCGGGAGATCAAGACCATCCTGGCTAACGCAGTGAAACCCCGTCTCTACTAAAAATACAAAAAATTAGCCGGGCGTAGTGGCGGGCATATGTAGTCCCAGCTATTCGGGGGACTGAGGCAGGAGGATGGCGTGAACCCAGGAGGCGGAGCTTGCAGTGAGCCGAGACTGGGCCACTGCACTCCAGCCTGAGCGACAGAGCGAGACTCCGTCTCAAAAAAAAAAAAAACGTAGTTCAATCTTCTCAAAATTGAAAAAGGAGGAAAAAATTTTTTACAGATTCTTATACAACCAGTATTATTTTTATTTATTTATGTATTTATTTTGAGACGGAGTCTGGCTCTGTCACTGAGTCTGGAGTGCAATGGCGCGATCTCGGCTCACTGCAGCCTCCGCCTTCCGGGTTCAATCGATTCTCCTGCCTCATCCTCCCGAGTAGCTGGGACTACAGGCGCGCACCACCACGGCTGGCTAATTTTTGTACTTTTAGTAGAGACAGGGTTTCACCATTTTGGCCAGGATGGTTTGGGTCTCTTGACCTGGTGATCTGCCTGCCTAGGCCTCTCAAAGTGCTGGAATTACAGGCTTGAGCCACCTGGCCCGGCCACAACCAGTATTTCTTGCAAAGCATAATACAACTTTATCATGCATTATGTCTTGAGTGGAATAAAAATTCACAATTGTCAAAGAACCTTTTTGTCGCATTTCACTTTTCAATATTATTAAAGAAATGAGGCAAGGAAGAGATTTTTTATTGGCAATTTCTAATTGATTATGTCTTCCACTCTTTCTTTTTTTTTTTTTTTTTTTTTTTTTGAGACGGAGTCTCGCTCTGTTGCCCAGGCTGGAGTGCAGTGGCTGGATCTCGGCTCACTGCAAGCTCCGCCTCCCGGGTTTACGCCATTCTCCTGCCTCAGCCTCCCGAGTAGCTGGGACTACAGGCGCCCGCCACCTCACCCGGCTAGTTTTTTGTATTTTTTAGTAGAGACGGGGTTTCACTGGGTTAGCCAGGATGGTCTCGATCTGCTGACCTCGTGATCCGCCCGTCTCGGCCTCCCAAAGTGCTGGGATTACAGGCTTGAGCCACCGCGCCCGGCCGTCTTCCACTCTTTCTAATGAAAGGGGTTATTTTAACACAGCAACATGATCAGAGAAAGCCCTAGAGATGAGTAGAAATGAATAGTATTGAGCTTTTCTATCCTTCCTGCTTTGCAACCTGGGGAGTAAATTTCAGTCCGACTTACTTCATTTTGCAGCAAGACAATTTAACTAAGTCCACTAGTAGTTTGCTGCTTTATGAGGTTCTACTGTCAGCTTTGACTTTTGGTACAATTAAGGAGCCACAAAGTCCCTGGAGTAGATGTATGAAACTTCTTTCCCTTGCTCTGACAATGTCAGGCTTGGGGATTTAAACTGGTTTCCCTGTTTCCTTGCACGTTGTGTTAATATACTTGGTTTGCCTCCAATCAAGTTTTTTTTTCCTTTTTAAAATCCTTCCCTTAGTGGGAATAGATGTTTAAAAATCAGTGTTCTTGCTTGATGACTTGTGATATATTAAAAAAATTCGATGCTCATAAAAAGCAAACTTTGGCTCAAAGAAAATGTTGCATTTATAGTTAGTCAGTGAATCTCCTCTGGCCTCAATTTCCCCAGTTCCACAACACATTTCTGTCCTTGGGATGCTGCAAGGGGTTAATTAATTAAGATTTGTAAAGGACTTTGAGGAGTAGGGGACAAAGTATTATTAGGGTCTCATGCCCCAAGCCATGGCCCCATCCTTTCATCCCAGCCAGTGGCACAGGCAACCCCATTCTTATGCATGCCAAGCCCCTAATCCCCTCTTGAATGTGGAAGCTTCCAAGGAAAGGACAAGAGGCTTTAACTAGAAACAAAAATCCACTGTAATGAGGTGCTAAGAGGACTGAACTTTCAAGATTCATTCCTAACAAAGTGGCTGAACAGAAAAATGTAATGGTTCTTCTGTGACTTCTGAGTCCCAATCCAAGAAAGTGGGAGTTATGGGAAGGGCAAAAACATCTGACAAGGGGATGACAGTTTGAGTACCAATAAGTCTTTATTTATTCATTGTATTTTCCCAGGGAAAGGAGAAGGGAAGAGAAGAGTCAGCATGTGTTAAAAAGTGATTAAAAAATGGGAAAGGAAGTACCCAGTACAGCAAAATCAACCATCAAATAAACACACCCCAGTGATGGGGTCACCAAAGCCCAAAGGGGCTCAGTCTCCTGCAGTTCAGGAATGAGGGAAAGGGATCAGGAAAAAAACAGACAGGTACAGGCTTTCCTACCCTCCCTTCCCATAAATTCAAGATTTTACACAAAGCTTTGGTTTCTAGCAGTAAACATGGAGTTACATTCGTTCGTCTCCTATTAAACAATCTTGTGGCCACTTTGACATAAGTTTCTAGCACCTGCATAAAAGTTCCTGAGTGACTTGGATTTACATTCATATTCCCTTTCTTGGCCTCCTGACCCCACTTCCTACATGGAAGGCCCCAGTTGCATCTCTCTACTTTAGGATTAAAAATTAAGTAGGTTTGATCCATCCAAAATACAGCAATGTCTTTTTTTTTTTTTTTTTTTGAGATGGAGTCTTGCCAGGCTGGAGTGCAGTGATGCGATCTCGGCTCACTGCAGCCTCTACCTTGCGAGCAGCTGGGACTACAGGTATGCACCACCACACCCAGCTGTTTTTTTTTTTTGTATTTTAGTAGAGACAGCGTTTCACCGTGTTGGCCAGGATGGTTTTGAACTCCTGACCTCGTGATCCGCCCACCTCAGCCTCCCAACATGCTGGGATTACAGGCGTGAGCCACTGTGCCCAGGCTACAGTGTTTGGCATGAATATATCAAGAAATAGTCGGCCCAGCGTGGTGGCTCATGCCTGTAATCCCATCACTTTGGAAGGCCGAGGTGGGCAGATCACCTGAGGTCAGGAGTTCCAGACCAGCCTGGACAACACAGTGAAACCCTATCTCTACTAAAAATATGAAAATTAGCTGGGTGTGGTGGGCACCTGTAATCCCAGCTACTCAGGAGGCTGAGGCAGAATTGCTTGAACCCAAAAGGCAGAGGCTGCAGTGAGCCAATCATGCCACTCCACTCCAGCCTGGGTGATAGAGACTCCATCTTAAAAAAAAAAAAAGAATTGGTAATGGTCTTGACTTAGGTGGTTGGGAACAAGGGATAGAGGGTTTTCCTAGCTTCAGGATTTTTGCATACATCGTTTAAGAGTTGTGGAGACACTCCAAGTGTTAAATGTGTATGAGTGTGGGTGTGTAAGTTTTCTTTTGGGAGTGAACAGAAAAGAGGACAGGGTAGAAGACAAGTTTTTAGGACAGAAGATCTGGTCTAATAGGTAATAGGGGAAGGGGAATACAAAAGAAAGGATGGTTCAAGATCCCCACTTTAAGAAGAGGGCCCCCCAAACTAATGTTTCAGATCTTTTTGCCTGGTGCAGAACCTTCTGTCAAAGATGCTTTGGCTATTTTTCTCTCAATACAAAAAGAAGTTTGTAAACAAAACCCCCAAAGAACACGGAGAAAGACCAATACATTATATTTACACAAACTAGGCCACCTAGCAATCAACTTAGTGAAGTCCTATAAAGCCCAGACAAATACAATAACTAGAGGGGGGGCAGCATTTAGGGGAGACAAGAACCCAGGAAGAGACACACACCACCCAATGCGTTCTATTGCATTTGTCCCGTTTCAACACAGTGAGGTAGGTTTGCGGTGATCTCACAGCATGTAAACGAAACCCCCTTTTTCTCCTTTAGCTACCATGACACTATTAATCACTACTGCAGCAGGGCAGGACACAGGCCCCAGGCACCACAAAGCCCTCACTTGTGTGTCTCCCTGGAACCCGAGAATTTTGACAGGTTAAGAATCTTAGACCTTACTTCATATATCCATCCTTGGACAGCACAGGATTAAGTACAGGGGTATTGGTCTTAAAACTTATCCTTGGCAACTGCAGTTTTACAAACACACACACACCCTGTGGTGCATGGTAGGCCTAGCCTTATCTGGTGAAGAATGGATCTGGAGATGTAAAACACGTCCTGTGCCCTAGGATTAGACAACCCTCACCTAATCTTGGCTTGCTCTCTGGGCCTTTCACTTGGCCCAGCCTCTGCTAGCCTCTGTACCACCATTTCCTGTTTAGACTAATTCCCAATCTTCCAGTAGGAGGCAATCAAGTCATGGGGCAACCCAGTTAAAACCTAGTCTCCCATAAAACATTTTCAAGGCAGAGGGGGTTTCAAGAGGACACTATGGCAGAAAAGCCAGCTCTTATTGGCAAAAATGAGGTAGTTCAATAGGCTGTGCACTCCAAATAGTTGCTCTCCATGGTGGCAAAAACAACAAAAAGTATTCCTGCTGCGCAGACCTGGAGCTGCTGCCGGCTTATCCCTGAGATTGCTCATGTACCTGAGAACACAGTGCAGGAAATGAGGGCCTTAGATTAAAATATACAAAAATACAAAACCAGAATATTTATATTAAGGGAAAAAAAGGTTAAAATGCACAAGATACGTCATTCGCACACAGCTAGTGCAGTTGGCATCCTGGAGAAAGTGGGATCCAAGGTGCAGTATCCAAGGGAGCAAATAAATAAAATCACATTGGCTCAGAATGGGGCAGGAGTGAGCACAGGAGCAGCAGGTCTGCAGCTGTTCCCCCAAACACCCTTTTTGCCATCATCATTACCCATTGCTTGGGACAGTTGCCAGCACCCTATCCCAAAAGTGGGTATGAGGATACAAGATGTGAAAAAAAAAAAAAAAACACTGCTTACTCCTGAGAGATTCCCTTCCACAGAATGTAGTGGCTTGTCTCCATGAATCTGGTCTTATACTTAATCATTTCACTCTGGCATGGGAATTATTATATATCCTTCTTTAAAAGGAAAACAACTTCCCTATCCAGGCCACTTTCAAAAGCTGGAAATTCTGGGAATGGAGCCTCAGATAAAGTATGCAGGTTGCAGGGTGATTCCCCCATCCTGGTTGCCCCCAGAACCCTCACTTGCATTTGGACAGAGCGTGATTGGAGTTCCTTTGACTCACCCTTTCCCCCCACCTAGAGGAAAGAAAGGGTGATGGTGTGAATCCCAGCCTGAGATACATGGCAGTGCCAACTAGCCCCAATGCACCCTATTCCCACTTTCTCCACTCTGCCTGCTCCTCAAAACTTCCTGATAGCAAAAGAATAGCCCCCACCCATTGTGGCTCAATTCTGCGCCTCCGGGAGCAGGGCAGGGCTGTGAATTTCTTCTTCTTCCTCCCGAAAGTAGGTTGGCTTTCCCTGTGCACTAGGGCCCTGCTGGGCCTTCAGCGGACATGAGGCTACCATATGGCTGATGCTCTGGCAGAAGTGGCACTTCTTGGGCTGGGGTGGCAGCTTGCATTCCTTGGCATGATGGTCTAGACCTCCACAGTTGTAGCACCTAGTACAAATCAAGATGGTAAAAGTAAGAGAAAGGAGCAAGAAGAGGCCAGATGATTCCCATGAATGAGGACACCTTGGCTGTGGTACAGGTTTGTCACTTACTTCCCTTCCCAGAGACCAAACTTCCCACTTACAAAAGGAGGACTATTACTAAATGATCTCTTAAGTCCTTTCCACATCTAATTGTCTAGGTGATCTCTTCAGATTCATGTCAACTTGAAAATACCAAGACACCAGAAATAGAAGTTACTGACCCCAACTGGGAACTGCAACTTGGAGGATAGGAGAGATTCTTCCATACCCTTAATATAAGAGAAATTAAAGAAGCCAAATTATAGTATCTGTTCAGAGCTAAGGGGCTTTAAGACCAAACAAGATGGCCGGGCGCGGTGGCTCAAGCCTGTAATCCCAGCACTTTGGGAGGCCGAGACGGGCGGATCACGAGGTCAGGAGATCGAGACCATCCTGGCTAACACGGTGAAACCCCGTCTCTACTAAAAAATACAAAAAACTAGCCGGGCGAGGTGGTGGGCGCCTGTAGTCCCAGCTACTTGGGAGGCTGAGGTAGGAGAATGGCGTAAACCTGGGAGGCGGAGCTTGCAGTGAGCTGAGATCCGGCCACTGCACTTCAGCCCGGGCGACAGAGCGAGACTCCGTCTCAAAAAAAAAAAAAAAGACCAAAGAAGATTAAGGAAACCCGCCATTTGCAGACCTGGTAAAGCAACAACAGATACAGATAATACTATCTTGTCGCATCATTTGCAAATCCATGATTTCCTTTAATTCTAAAACCATCCTAGGATGTTAGTATCACTGGCCTCACTTAACAATTGAGGCTAGAGCCCACAGAGCAAACTTACTTGTCCCAAGTAGAAGCACTAAGTCACCCCCAGTGCCCTCCTCACCTACTGCCCTTGCCCACACCTATTGCAGGCACTCAGCCTTCCAGATGCTGCCAGGGACCACAGGCTTCCCTTCGTGTTTTGCTGTGTGACCCAAAACTGACAGGATTGGGAGACTGGGGATGCTCCAGCAACCTAAAAGCTGCCTTCCAGTCCATACCTGTCTCCTTTTGATCTGCGCTTCTGCATGTTCTTCCCTTTTGGCCGCCTCTCACTCCCAATACAGAACACCCCACCAGGTCCGGTGACACGGATGGATTCCAGACCCTTGGCTGACTTCTTAAAGGTGAATTCCACTGCCTCACCCTCCTTCAAGCTCCGGAACCCCTCCATGTGCAGTTTACTCTGGTGAAGGGAAATAACATTAGTTTCCATTATTACACCGAAAGACCAGGAGCACTTATTCCTGTAGGGCAGGAATCAAATGTGATGGTACTCCTATTTTACTGGTAAGGAAACTGACTCAGAGTCACTACAATTACGAACAACAAAAGTCTACCAGTACATTAACAAAAATCATAATTATATAAGCAGATGCCATGATATTTTATAGCTATTAAATTAAGAATTTAAAGTTCTTAATAAAATAGAACAGAGGGCCTGGCACGGTGGCTCACACCTATAATCCCAGCACTTTGCGAGGCCGAGACGGGTGGATCACCTGAGGTCAGGAGTTCGAGACCAGCTTGGCCAACATGGTGAAACACCATCTCTACTAAAAATAAAAAAAATTAGCCAGGCATGGTGGTAGGCACCTGTAATCCCAGCTACTTGGGAGGCTGAGGCAGGAGAATTGCTTGAACCCAGAAAGCGGAGGTTGCAGTGAGCCAAGATCATGCTACTGCATTCCAGCCTGGGCAACAGAGTGAGACTTTGTCTCAAAAAACAAAACAAACAAAGAGAAAAATTTCTACATATAAGCATTTGGAAGAAATCAACAAATATAAAATTACGAAATTTGAAGTGTCAAGCTATAGAGGTTGCAGTGAGCCGAGATGGCACCTTTGTACTCCAGCCTGGGCAACACAGCAAGACTTTGTCTCAAAAATAAATAAATAGATAAATAAATAAATAAAATACAATAAAAATAGCTGGGCATGGTAGCTCAGCTGCGTGCAGTGGCTTACGCCTGTAATCCCAGCACTTTGGGAGGCTGAAGCAGGTGGATCACGAGGTCAGGAGTTCAAGACCAGCCTGGCCAACATGTGAAACTGTGTCTCTATTAAAAATACAAAAATTAGTCGGGTGTGGTGGCAGTCGCCTGTAATCCCAGCTACTCGGGAGGCTGAGGCAGGATAATTGCTTGAACCCTGGAGGTGGAGGTTGCAGTTAGCCAAGATCACACCACTGTAGTCTGGTTGGCAGAGCAAGACTCCATCTCAAAAAAATAAATAAATAAAATATAAAGTGTCACACTATAAAGTACTGAAACATTCATTTTTCACATAATGCCTCACTTAGTATTTATACCATCATCAAAAGACCAAATAAATAGAATACTGGAAAAAATACAAAATCAAGTGGTATTTTTATTTCAAAGCAATATTATATGCCTTATTTAGGAAAGAAAAAAAACCTCAAGATGCTCACTGATTTAAGAAATAATAATAATGGGCCGGGTGCGATGGCTCATGCCTGGTAATCCCAGCATTTTGGGAGGCCAAGGCAGGCGGATCACCTAAGATCAAGAGTTTGAGACCAGCCTAACCAACATGGAGAAACCCTGTCTCTACTACTAAAAATACAAAATTAGCCAGGTGTGGTGGTGGGCACCTGTAATCCCAGCTACTTGGGAGGCTGAGGTAGGAGAATCACTTGAACCTGGGAGGAGGGGGTTGTGGTGAGCCGAGATTGCGCCATTGCACTTTAGCCTGGGAAACAAGAATGAAACTCCGTCTCAAAAAAAAAAAAAAAAAAAGAAATCACAATAATGGCTGCAAAACATGTTAAACAAACAAATAAATGGAATAGGCCAGGTACCGTGACTCATGCCTATCTGTAATCCCAGCACTTGGGGGAGGCAGAGGTGAGCAGATCACATGAATCCAGGAATTCAACACCAGCCTGGCCTAAGTGGCGAAATGCCATCTCTACAAAAAATACAAAAATTAGCTGGGCATGGTACACAGACCTGTAATCTCAGCTACTCAAGAAGCTGAGGCAATCATTTGAACCCGGGAGGCAGAAGTTGCAGAGATGGCACCACTGCACTCCAGCCTGGGTGACGGAGCCAGACACTGTCTGGCTCACTCCTGTAATCCCAGCAGAGGTGGGAGCATTGCTTGAGCCCATGGAATGGAGGTTGTAGTGAGCCGAGATTATGCTACTGCATTCCAGCCTGGGCAACAGAGTCTCAGAAACAAACAAAAACACCAAAACCCTCAGAATACATTTAACAAGGTTAAAAAGCCTATATGAGGAAAAAACTCAAATTATATTAAAGGAAAAAAATGAAAAAACATACCACGATCTTGGATTGGAAGATTCAGTGATTCTAAAGTCTATGGGAAAATATAAATTGCCAAGAATACCAGTTATTACAATTTAAATTGGATATCATCAGCAGCGTAGCAACTACAAAGCGAAAAACAGCAAGTTTACAGTGGAGAAAACTGGCAAATAATACCCTAGTCAAGTTCTTTGCATTTTGCTTTGCCTACAATAGGACACACATATCTCCTGATATGATGCACTAAGGACTTATGACTTTAAATCTAATGACTTTGAATCTTATGACTATGAATCTAACCTTGAGGGAACATCAGACAAACTCAAACTGAGGGACATTCCTATAAAACAGAACTTCAAAAATGTCAAGGCTATAAAAAGACAAAGCCTGAAGAACTGAACAGTTCAATGCAATCCAAGATTCCAGATTGAATCTTGAAACAGAAAAAAAAAATAGGACAATCGACAAAATTTGCATATGGTATATAGATAAATGTATCAGTGTTTAATTTCCTGATTATGATTAGTGTACTGAAATGATGTAAGACTGATATTCCCAGTCAGGCACAGTGGCTGATGCCTGTAATCCCCAGCACATTGGGAGGCCAAGATGGGCGGATTGCTTGAGCCCAGGAATTCGAGACCAGCTTGGGCAATATGGCAAAAACCCGTCTCTACAAAATAATACAAAAATGGGCCAGGCATAGTGGTGCATGCCTGTAGTCCCAGCTACTGGGGAGGCTGAGGTGGGAGGATCCCTTGAGCCCGGGAAGCAGAGGTTGCAGTGAAAAGAGATGCTCCAGGCTGGGTGACAGAGTGAGACCCTGTCTCAAAAAAAAAAAAAAAAAAAAGATCACTATTCCCATTCTTGGGAAATACGCACTGAAATATTTAGAGATAAAGGTGCTTACTGTCTCCAATTTACAGTTTTAAAAAATGAAATAAAACTATCTGTACCAAGATAAAGAATGATAAAGCAAAGGGGGAAAATGTTAAGAGTTGATGAATCTGAGTAAAGGTTATGTGGGAGCGTTGGGTATTGTTCTTGTAGGCTTTTTAAAGTTTGAAATTATATTAAAATAATGTTACCAAAAGACAGTATAACCCAAGCAGATGGATCAGAGGATTAAAATGGAAAATCACAGAGAGATCTGAGAATACATGGAGAAATCAATAAGCAAGGAAAATAATCCAATAAATCCTGCTATAAAAATTAATAATCCATTTGGAAAGGAAGCCATATTCCTACACATTGTTTGATACACATGCAAAATACATTTCAGAGGATTTAAACACCTCATTGTTAAGAAAAATACTGAAAAGTTAAGACAGATAATCAGACTGGTAAAACTACAAAAATATACCATGAATCACTAAGAAAAAAGAATTACACAACATAATATAAGTAGATATCAGTAGGAAGTCTTAGCATGACACATATATTCAGTATCTCATTGTTGGTTTAAAAAAATTGGAAATAACCTACCGGTTTATTTGTAGTTGCTATGCTGCTGATGATATCCAATTTAAATGGTAATACCTGGTATTCTTGGCAATTTATATTTTCCCATAGCCTTTAGAATCACTGAATCTTCCAATCCAAGATCGTGGTATGTTTTTTCATTTTTTCCTTTAATATAATTTGAGTTTTTTCCTCATATAGGCTTTTTACCTTGTTAAATGTACCGGTTGAATAAATATGGTACATCTATAATAATGAATACCATGCAGCCATTAAAAACAACGTAAAGTCTTTGGTTTGTTCACAGCCACATTTTGGTACCTGAAATAATGCCTAGCACATTTTTTAATGAATTAATGAACCAGGAGGCAAATTTTTAATCATTCAGCTGAGAAAGATAACCACAGTATTGTTAAAGAAAAAACAAAAAGCAAGATTTAGAACAATATGTATGGAATAATCCCATTAGAACACTGCATATTTGTACCAAAATTTAAGGACACTGATATTTATAAAGCAGTTAGCAAACAGCCAGCAGCCATCAAGAAAAAAAAAAAAGTTATTCATACAGCTAGTTCTGTAGCAAAGCCAGAGTCAGTTGACCCAGAGTTCCTGATTTAAAGCTCAGAGCTCATTCTATCATGCCACTTACTGCACCACCAACTTGACATTTAGTGGAGGTGACAGCATCTCAGACCCTACCCTGAATAGACTTCATTACAGCTTCATTTATTTTAGTAAAACAACAGTGTCAATATGTCAACAAGGAGTAGTCGTCATAGAAAAAAAGCAAAAGGGATCACTGTGCACCTACCTAGTCCTGGCTCAAGGAAACATGAGTAAGTAGCATTAGTATTTTATGCTGGTGACTGGGGGGGAGTATTCCAAACTGGAACTTAGATGAAGCATGCTCTTCATCAAGATGGGGACCACAGATTCCTCATCACTTCTTTTTTTTTTTTGGAGACACAGTCTCGCTCTATCGCCCAGGCTGAAGTGCAGTGACGCGATCTCAGCTCACTGCAACCTCCACCTCCTGGGTTTAAGCGATTCTTCTGCCTCAGCCTCCAGAGCAGCTAGAACTACAGGCACACGCCACCACACCCTGCTAATTTTTGTATTTCTAGTAGAGACGGGCTTTCACCTTATTGGCCAGGCTGGTCTCAAACTCCTGACCGCATGATCCGCCCACCTCTGCTTCCCAAAGTGCTGGGATTACAGGCGTAGCCACTGTGCCTGGCCAAATTTTTGTTTTAAGATGATATTGCGGGCCGGGTGCAATATCTCTCTTGCTGTTGCACAGTAACCACCCTGAGTTTAAACTTAAATTTGTAAGGTTGAGCATGGTGGCTCACAACTGTAATCCCAGCAATTTGGATGGCTGAGGCAGGTGGATCCTGAGCTTGAGGCTCAGGAATTGGAGACCAGCCTGGGC